GAGACGATGCTGTAACAGTTTGTGTAGCCTAACAATTTACTCACTTCTGTTCTGCAAATTTCGAAATTTCTACTTACGCTGATAGAATAATGTCTCTAGAGGAAAAATGGCAAAAAGTGGTCGAGCAAAATGCTAGCAATTTGTATTGCAGCTAATTGCTATTGTGGTTCGTTCTAAATAATTTCTTCGAAGATTGTAGCGAGTTCGGTTTTATGAATAACATCACATGGAAGATGAGCTTGTTTATATTATTATCGATTATTTATTCCCAGGTCAAAGTCATATTCAATTTTAGAACCACACACCACCAAATTTATAAAAATATAGAACGAATTGTCGCTTTCTGACTGAAATTACCGCTGAGTCTGAAATGCTTTATTTTTGAATTTGGAGTATGGCATTATAAAGCACTTAAGCCTCTCTCATTATTTTTGATAAGTACTTTTATGTATTCTTAAGTGATTTCCTATTATTTTATGGTTTATTGTGGGAAAAGAAAGAAGACATTTGTAATTAATAATTAAATGTAATTTTATAAGAATATATATTGTGACAAAAAAGCACTCGGAAGCTATAAATAAAACGCAAAGTATTTAATATTTTTTATCAATATTTATTCGCCTTGAGAGTAATCGCCAAGATATGAATAAAATTATGTCTTATTATGAATTTCGAACAGGAAAGTTAATATACATATTCAATCTCCCGATACAATGCTGGTATGGATGGAGTTCACAAAATGTTAATGCTTACCAGATCAGAGCCAGAGGAAAGTTTTCACTTTTTACGTGGTTTATCGATGTTTCTTTTCAAAATGCTTGGCTGCTACATCATCAATCTGGCTTAACGCTCTCTCTTTCAATTTTTCCGAGTTATAGCATACCATTATTGTATGAAGCTGGGTGTATCAAAACCACTCAGTGAATTACTCACAATAGAGTTCAGTTTTCCGTTATGATCGCCACAACACTTCTTTTATGTTATTCCAGCTCAAAAAAATGGCGCAGTTGTCGAGGAAGTGGTACAAATTGTTGTAACAAATGTTGTGTCGATTTGTGCTTTAAATTTTTCAAGAGAATTAATAGCTCGCAATACAGAAGAACGCACAGACTGTCGTCCATATTACGTACAGTGATGAACAAAAGTATTGGCACAGCAAGATACCTTGACTTTACCACTGCCTTATATAAAAAAGGTTTTGAATACAAAAAAAAACCCTTAGTTAAGACCACTAATTATCAATTATATTATATAAATTACGCTGAGATTGGTGAAATGATGAACAGAAGCCGATATACCATATGGAGTATTATTCAAGAATTTAGAGGTACTGCATCTTTACAAAGCGAAAAACGAACAGGCAGGCCGAAGGCTTTAAGTAAACGCGAACGTAGTCAAATAACCACAAAAGTAAAAAAGTACCCCAGACTATCACCCAGACCCCAGACTATCCTCCAAATCGCTGCGGAAGTTAAGGAATAGATGGGAAAAGATATTCATCCAATAACTGCATGAAGCTAATTACAGTTCTCGAGTAACAAACGAAGCGTTTGGCTTATGCGAAGGAGTACATAAGCAAGCCAAAGACTTTTGGGACAGTGTACTCTTCTCAGGTGAGAGTAAGTTCAATATATTTCAATCTGATGGTCGGCAAACTGTGTGGATAAAGCCTAATACCGAACTGCCAAAACAGAACCTCGTTGCTATTGTAAACCATGGCGGTGGAGGAGTAATTGTGGGGTTGTATGTCCGCTGCAGGTGTCGGTGAGCTGGAATTCATAGACAATATTATGGACAAAAAATATAATATGGAAATTCTGAAGAGAAATGTAAAAAAAAGTTCCGAATAATTAAAATTGCCAGAGTCATTCACATTTCAACACGATAATAACCCGAAGCATACGGCTTATGATGTACGCATGTGGCTGGCACATCACATAAAATATACATTATCGCATCTCCCTCAATCGCCCGATCTTAATCCAATAAAACATTTGTGGGAAGAACTGGATCGGCACGTTAAGAAGCGAGCAATATCAACAAAATATGAATTGAAGGTGGGACTAATGGAGGAATGGCAGAATATTGGCGCAAAAAGGACACAAAAATTGGTTTGATCAATGCCAAACCGGGTGGAAGCAGTCATCAAGCAAAAGCGCTTGGCCACAAAATATTTATTTTATCCACATATTGTTTACTACTTTGTTAATTTTTTTTTATTTATTTATTAATTTTTTNTTTCTTTTTGTATACTTTTTTGTTTTTGTATATTTATGGAGTGTACCAATACTTTTTTTTCGCTATAATTAGCACTTTTTTCTTTTTATAACTACTATTAAATAAATATAAGAGATAATTAAATGAATTAAAAGAAATATAGTATAATTGATAATTGTTACATATGAATTGATTAATCAAGTTAATGGCCATTATTATATGTATGAGTCGTACTCAACTTTATACATTGTTGTAATTTACAAATGGTCACGCCCAAAGGCCAGGAAACCCAAAAGCCAATAAACTTGCTGAATCGGTGTAAAAAGTCCGCGAAATTATTGGTATCGATGCAAATTTTATTAGGAGAATGTTGAGTGAGGGACTGAATACGAGTAAAAATACAATTTAAGAGAATTTAAACTGAATCTTTGAATGAAAGAAAAGTCTGCTCATGTTTTGTTGCCCATGAATTAAATGAAGACAAAAAGGTGAAGGAGTTTCTTGATAAAAAAAAATTAGTTTCTCTTATAAATCAATCTCTATATTCGCATGATCTATCACCATATGACTATTTTTTAGTTCCGAAACTTAAAACCAACACGAAAGCAGCATTCTATGAGACTCCTGCTATAGCCAATGTGCTGAATGAAATACGTATAAATGACATACAAATTCTTTAGACGCGCTGCCTGATTGTTCCAGACGTTGTATTGCGTCAAATGGAAACTACTTTAAATAAATAATAGTTTTTGAAGATATTATAATTGCACATTCTAATATATGCAAAAAGTTCGCTTACTTTTCGGGCACACTTGAGTTAGCTGCATATTTAACTATACGAAGTCTTAAAAACCTATAAAAAAAAAAGCAACATTTTTTACAGACTTTTCTTCTTTTGCCTTTCGGTTCAGGTCTAAAGTATCATAAATACAATGAAAAGCAAACTGCGTTTATATTATTAGTTTCTTCCGCTATTTAATATAAAATAATAGAATTATTAACAATAATAGTATTTCGTATTCAATAACGTCAATTACAAAATTCAGTTACGAATTAGGGTGCAATCTTCGAAAATTGGCGAAATCTACTTCTTCTTTACTAGCGTAGAAACCTCTTATGCGGTTATAGCCGAGTTAATAACAGAGTGCGAGTCGTTGGAGATTGCCAGCGATTCCAGGTCCTTTTCCACCTGGTCCTTCCAACGGAGTGAAGGTCTTCTTCATCCTCTGCTTCCCCCGGAGGGTACAACGTCAAATACAACATAATACAATTCGTACAACATGACTTATTCAGCGTAGCCGCTGTCTTTTAATTCGCTGTCCATCAATCCATCGATTGCGATATTTGCCGTGGCCAACGCGCAAAGGAACATAAATATTTCGCATAACTTTTCTCTCGAAAACTTGCAACATCCAGAAGTTGATTGAAGAAGTCACACGAAAAGTATTCGCCTTGTCTGAAACCCCGCTCGGTATCGAACGGCTCGGAGAGGTCCTTCCCGAACTTGACGCAGCTTTTGGTGTTGCTCAACGTCAGTTTACACAGCCGTATTAGTTTTGCGGGGATACCAAATTCAGGCATCGCGGCATAAAGGCAGCTCCTTTTCGTGCTGTCGAAAGCAGCTTTAAAATCGGCGAAACGATGATGTGTGTCGATTCTTCCTTCAAAGGTCTTTTCCAAGATTTGGCGCATGGTGAATATTTGGTCGGTTGTTGCTTTGCCAGGTCTACAGCCACACTGTTTTTTGCCTTTGTTTTTCGAGCATTACCCCTGTCGCCCAACTTATCCGAGAGGAGCGTATGCACGTATAGAACACTGGAGACACGTCTTCCGTCTGTAATAAAGAGTTAATAAATGACTCAATATTAAGACTAAAAGAGGGAAAGAAATTCGATTTCTTATTAACCTAATAAACCGCAACTTTCTAAAAGCGTTAAAAAGTATCCTAAGGCCGTTTGACGAAAAGCATAAAGAGAAAACCCAAATATGCAAAGTAGATCCGAAAATTTTTAATCTTTTTATAAGGGGTACTTTTTTAGACATGTAGTGTTCAAGGAGAAATATAAGGTATTTTTAATATTATGGTTATATTATGTATTATGGCTAAGATTTAGGGTAAGTGACTGCTTCGGCTGGCTCCAATAAATTAGAACCGAGAGGCTCAATTTTCAAACACAATCTGCAGCCAGCAATAACACCTTTTTATACTCTTTTTTTTTTAATTCCAAATATTGCGAATTTCTTTATTATTCTCTTGTTTTTGAACAGCTGTAACTTTTTTACATCTTCTCCATATTTAATTTTGGTTAAATGAAACTTTTTTGGTCAAATAAAGTTTGAAATCTTACCTTTCCAACACTATATGATATGACACAATGTGATTGGTCGCATTGGAGACATACGACTGCAACGATATCTATTGAAAAAATACGAAAAGACTTTTTCGACTACCAATCTAATGAAAAGTTTGACATCAACTCTCATTTGAAATTTAATCGTGACCACGTTTCGAACATTGACTAATAGAAAGGTCGTCACCCACAACATATTCTCGGCCACGCTAGCTTTGAAAGTCGTGGAGTTTGTTTGTCACAAGTATATTATTGCGAAATATCAACAACAACCCTCTTGTCTAGGTCAGTTGACTTTTTATATTTTTTTTTTGTCTTTCCACTTTATTAATGCAATTTTAATTATTGTTATGAATTCTAATTATTTTATTTTTGTTCCAAGTTTAAGCGCATATTTATTTAAACAACGAGATCTAAACGATTTCATTTAGAAATTTTTGTCTCTATATTAACCTGGCTACCGCCCAGTGATAGTGTTACGCTTGGCCCATCGTTGAAGCGTGTACTTGTGAGTTAAAAATGTTGAAACCAAGATTGCACAAAGCAATTGTCTGGACCTTCAATGTTATATTGGCGATTTTCGTAGTTCCTATAGCGCTTTTAGTGACCACCATAATTACTAATATTGAAAGTTGCCGACGCAAAGAGGAAAAATCTATTAAAAATGAAGTGGCCGTTGTAAGTGCAATGTAATATTTCATATATTGAAATTATTATAAAATTGAAGAAAATTAAGAGATATTGCGCATAGACTGAACTAAATCGAGTTCCGGAGTTTCAAAGCTGCGAAATACTTCAGAGTTTTAGAATTGCACCGTTTTTTGAAAGCTGAAGAACCGAAATGAGAAATCGGACTAATGCCATTATTGACGGTATTGATATTTTTAATTAGCGAAATATTGGCACCAATAATTTAAAAGCTGCACTCGAGTATTCAAGCACGCTTCTAACCCCTAAAGAACATAGCAATAGTCAAAATCAAAATCATTACTAAATTTAATTTCGCGACTAAATTTAATTATTTTAAAATTAAGTTCCAGTTCGTCAGATCATATAACCTTTGACGAAACTAAGGTAAACCGTCTTGGATCAGAGGATCGCGAGTGGACTTGAAAAAGTAAGGACATGAAGTTACAGTCTCACCACATTAAGCCTACACTGAAATTTGGAGGTGGCTAAATTATGGTATAGGGCTGTATGATAGTTCATAATGGCGGACTAGCGAGAATTGAGGGTAAAATGACGGCAGACTCTTACATTGACATTCTGAGCAATCATTTAGTTCCCTTTGTGGAAGATTTAGTTGTAGGTGTTTCGAACATCGTTTTCCGGCAGGAATGATCCGCTCAATTAGCCACCGCAGTCTCCCGATCTTAATACATTTGAGCACTTGTGGGAAGCAGAAAATCTAAGAAGGCCAAAAATTGCTCAAAACCAGCAAAAACTGTTCAGCCCTTAGGTACCGAATATTTGGACCCCAGTACCAATAGTTGATTTTTGATCTAAAATATCGGTCGATGTGTAAGATATATAACTGAAATACAAGGATAATCCTTCTCTGACAATATTTTATATGTATGTCCAAAAGTGATTAAATAGGGCCAATACTTCCCGTAGCCCACATATATCTAATATAAAGATTTTCGAACTTCCAGGTAACTGTTACCTTGACCTAGCCCCCGTTTAACTGCTACCAGGATTTCGAACACCCGGCTTACTTTACTCCATATGATTGGTTATTGTATGTGAGGTAACTTTTTGAAACCCAGAAAACATTTTTTTAGTATGTGGCATAATAATAGTTAATACATAAAATCGGATAGATACTACCCAACTCCCATATACCACGTACAATGACCTTCGTTTTTCTGACAAATCTTATGTCGAATTTGTCGACCAGTGTATGAGTTATATAGAGTGTAAGTATAAATATTATAAAGCCAAACGGAAATCTTAAATTTTATATAATTTGTATAAATTGTGGTATATAATGTATATATATAATATGTAGGGACTAGGCAATATTTTGGCATGGTTTTATCCAATTTTTGGATTATGTGAATTACTTATTTTTGACTCAATGCCATGTTACCATCACAAAATATTCTCCTCGATTTTCAATACAAGGTAACAGAGATCGACCGATACGTTCGATAAAAAATCAGCTGTATGGATAAATGGATCACTCAAAACATAGGTTTTCTGAGCGTAAGGTGAAATACATTGAACATTAAATGCAGCAGTCTTTGTGTAACGTTTTATTAATTCGTAGTCGTAGTTTAAATTAGCAGAAGACGATGAAATTTAAAAGCTTGTTATTTGGGAAGTAGGCCACTATAGCAAATTACAGTTTTTTACCTTAATTTAGTGCTTAGTTATGGTATATAATAGGTTGATTTTTTCGGTTAATTTGTATGACAGCTTTAGTTGCCCGACAAGGGCGACTCTGATAAATAAGATGAAAAAGACATGTAGAAAATATTTGATAGATATCTCGAAAATTGAGGGCATAGTTTACATACATACATATATACAGACAGACATTCGTACAGACGAAAATGTCTAAATCGACTCAGGGCCACTAATAATTTGTAAGGTCTCTAAGGTTTCTTTCTGGGTGTTCCAAACTTCGTGATAAACTTTATATATCCAGTTCACGGTATAATTAACCAAATACCTCCTACTGAATTGAACACTCCATCTCTATTAATGGATTTTAATCATATTTAAGGTCACTGGTTCAGCAACTGGACTGGGTAAACATCTCGCTATAGCATTGGCCGCCAGAGGATGCCATGTCGCTATATGTGACATCAATTTTGATTTGGCTGTGACGACAGCTCAAGAAATTGCCGACAAATATGGCGTCAAAACAAAAGCCTATAAGGTGAGTGAACTCGAAGTTCCGTTCAAAACGCTCATTTTACAATCGGATTTTATTCGATAATTTCACCCTATAACAGGTGGACGTCAGCAAATACGATGAAATTGTGGAACTCAATAAAAAACTAACCGATGACATTGGTGCCGCCACTATACTTGTGAATAATGCAGGGTTGATGCTCCATGCAGATAGGCTAAATCCCACAGTCGAGGAAATTCAAACGATGATAAATGTTAACTATACTTCACATTTCTGGGTAAGTTAGCTAAGAGTTTAAAACAAAATGGCGTCCAAATCAAAGCAGACAAAAGTGTTGTAATTATTGAACTTTTTTTTTTCTCAGACAAATCGTGTATTCAAAGAAAATATGAGGCGTGCCGAGAAAGGGTATATTATGGCAATATGTTCAATAGCCGGTAAGTTACAAGTATTTTCATAAGTATAAATTCATTCAAAATAAAAATCACATATGCTTTGACTTACAATCATATCTAGGTCTTCATGTAATGGTGGAGAACGAACCGTATAGCAGTACTAAGTTTGCTGTGCGCACCCTAATGCGAGCACTGCGAGCTTTATTGAAAATTGAAGGATTGCATTATATTCATCTTACTACCGTATTTCCTATATTTATTGCAACTAGCTCAAAACTTATCCAGTTATCTATAGATGAAGGCTTCGGTAAAATATATCCATTACTAAAAAGTGAAGAAGTGGCGCAGAGAGCTGTATCGGGAATGTTACGTGGTGAAGTGGAAGTCATCATACCCAGTTACATTGCACTCACGTATCGCCTCTACGTGTAAATAATTACAACCTTTTACCAAGTAAATGTGATTCGCAAATAATTTCAATTTATTTTTATCCTTGCAGCCTTTTCCCACAAAGAGTTCAAGATTGGATCAATGCTTTCTATGTGAGACGATCAAAAAAGTATAAAAAAATATGAACAACAACTCTCTCACAATTTGCAAAAACCAAAGGCGGAAATGTATTTAGAGGTGTTAACGAAAATTTTTGTTAAAAAATTATCACTTCATTTCAAAATTCATTATTCGACGAAATAGAATACAATCTTATTTGAAATCTTAGCAGCTTATTCTACAAAACATAACTAACTTACTTATTTTATGTACAAAGCTAAGCGTCATAGTCGAAATATTTATATCAAAACCAATAACATATCTCAAAATGAATATAGTCGTCATACTTGGCCCCACGAAAGTATGTACCGATGTCTGTAATATTCTCATCCGAACAGCGATTTGCTAATTACAATATAATCGCTTAATATGATAGAAGTATTGAATATTAATTATAGGATATAAGCGTAATTAAAACGGAAGAATTTTAACGTATTGTGTATATGAGGGAAAAGTCAAAAGAGAAATGATTTTATTAGGGATATCGATCCAAGGTCGCCAGCAATAAATCTCACATAATTACATTAAATTCTCTCTTCTGCTTCATTACAGCTTATTGCATGATTCAAAAGCATGTCGAATGAGTGTTTTAGCTCGCTGGTCGGTATGTTCGCCAGTAAGCCGGTGCAAGGCTTTTGAATGACCTCTACATAACGACGTTTCGATGGAATCTTCAACAATTGAAACGTTTCGATAAAAGTTTTACCAATTTTAAAACAAAATTTAATATTGGCTCTTTGTTCGAAGCTCATTTTCGCATCGATAACACAAACATACTGACAACTAAAACGCACCAGTCGACATATAGATGGCGCCACCAGCGGGCGCTAGATTCAAAAATTCCTGTTTACTTTGGAAAGCACCTTGAGTGATATAAAGCCAAGATCGGTATATATGGGCAAAGGTTTATCATAGACTGATCATATATTCAAGACGGTATTAAACACCAGTTTAAGTTAAGGCGTTCATTTAATTTTGTTTAAATATCTTACATACTTACGAGATAAAGTTTGCTAGATATATGAGATAAAGTCAACCAGAGAGGCAGTTGCTTTTCGTGCTGATAAAAGCGTCTTTAAAGTCGACGAAGAGGTGATGTGTGTTGATCTTCCTTTCACGTGTATTTATTGGGCGCATGGTGAAAATCGTGCAGAACACACTTAGGTTCCAGTCGTCGGACATGATTTCATATGATCATATCTTGCAAAGAAGCTGATGCATGCATCTTATCGATTCTTTACCGCCGTTTTTGAATAGCTCGTCTGGTAATCCATCGGCCCCTTCCGCTTTGTTGTACACTGTCGAATCTCATCATAATCCAACGTCGTCGAATCAACGGGGAATCGGGTTCGCCATCTCCAGATGTTACACTTTCACTACCGTTCAGCAGGAAGTGTTCCCTCCATAGCGATTTGATGATGAATTCTCTTGTTCTAGAATCTAGTAGTAGAGGAGACCATATATTGGACCCCTGCGAAGTCAATCAGCCTCCGACTGTTGTACCAAAGATGCCTTCTTTACCCACCCTGACGTTAACAAATGTCCCAAGGACCTAATCGTTCGTTTCACGTCCATCGCATTTCTTTACTTATTCATGAGTTTCTCACGACTCCAAGGTGCGCGGCGAGGAGACAAGAGTAGGAATTGGGTACAGCAATGTTCGATTTTGCTTATCTACAGTATGATGTTTTATCATTACTTCTCGATTCATGCTTAAGTTATCGAATATAAAGAAATCATCAGAGAGGTGACCAAAGAGTTCAAATCCTTATGGACATTTTTGTATTAACAATTCATGGATTCTTACCATAATTATTCGATCAATCTGACAAGTGGATTTAATGAGATTATCAAAGACAGTACTGAAATCCTTACAGAGCCTTGAATATATAAATATTTCCAAGATTTCAAAGGCCAACCACCATCACAAGTGAGTTGTAGTCGGAGGAGAACATACTGAAAGGGGAAACCTTACTTGTTTCAATAAACTTAAATTTTAAATTTTTTGGATAAATTCTTAAAGCTTTTAGTTCGAGATTATTTCTCAAAGTTCGGATAAATACGTATATGAGTGGAACCATATTTTACAGATATATTTTTCTTAAAAAACTGAAGCAACCTATAGGATAGTCGATGAAAATCGAAATCGGTGAATATATAAACATGGTGCACAAATCAAACGCTTGAACTTAGATTATGCCACCTCACACTGGTTCATACTAGACCAAGCTTTAGTCGAAATTCGACACAAGAAGGCGAGAGATATCCTATCTTCCAGGTATTGAGAATAATTTTGGTGATTCACAAGGTGTAATTAACACCGATTGCTCCTATGAAGGGACAAAACGGTCAAAGATCTCTATTAGTTCTCTTTTATTGTTACCGACCGTACCGACCGACTCACATCTCCATCGTCGCCATGGTCAAGTTGGTCGAATTAAGCTACAAACTGCTGCCTCATAGGCCATTTGTTCCAAATCGACTTCGTTTTGTTTCCAAATTTGAGAAAGTTAGTCATCGCGCAGATAGTTCAGTTGAATGACTTTGATAACGCGTTGGCATATATAGTTTGCACATATAGTAAGAAGTTCCGATTTGCCTTTTATTAAAAATATAAGTTTTAGAACAACGAATTTGAAAAGTTATAAGAAGAATTTTAATTTTTTCGCTCCGAATAAAAATCTAATGTACCAAATTGGCGGAACCCGAGATCTGAATAGATTCACGGATTTATACGGATTCCCTTGAAAGCAAACTTATACCATTTGCAGAATAGTTTCCAAATGAATATGGGATTTTGCAGCAGGATAATAAACCTTTACATATTTAAAGATACACGACCAGAAATAAGTCCGAACTTTATTTCAATCTGAGATCTTTGTGACTTCCTTATTGCAAAAGTTTACTAAGGTTGTAGGCAGTTTGGATTCTTCAAGGAGGCCAATATTATATTTAGAACTTCGAATGTAAATAACTCGTGATCCGATAGAGATACTTTTTTCAATATTTTTATAGAGATCACAAGTAATACTGACGCCTGAACATCATTTACAATTCGATCAACTTTATTAAGAAAATTCACATTCTGTAAAGGATGTGTATCGCGCGTTTCGCTCAACTTATGATCAACATTTCCGGCCTACTGATCGTACTATTAACAACACACTATCGCCCATCTTAAGACATTCATTATTGAGTCAATTCGATGCCATTCAGCCATTCATGAGCTATGGGCTCTCGAAAAGTTCCAAGAAGCCAAGAAGATCCGACGTTTTCGAGCAAGATTTTATTCAGTGATGAGGCTCATTTGTGGCTCAAAGGGTATGTAAACAAGCAAATGTTCCTGTCATTTAATCCAGAGAAAACAACGGTTTGCTGTGGTTTATAGGCCGGTGGAATCATCGGTCCATATTTCTTCAAAAAATGTGCCGGTGAGAACGTAACCGACAATGGCGATTATTATCGTGTCGAGATAACCGACTATTTGAGGCCTGAAATTGAAGCTTGTAAACTCGGCGACATCGCATCAATCAGTGGATTTATTGAGAGAACATTTCCGTAGAATAATTCCACGTTTTCGGCTGACGCCAAGAACGTGTGATATGACACCGTTAGACTTTTTTCCGTATGGATATGTAAAATTTAAGTCATTGCGTACAATCCCGCTTTGATTCAGACCTTGCAACAAAACATCACGCGTGACATTCGCCAGTTACCAGTCGAAAGGCTCGAACGGGTAATCGAAAATTGGGCTCAACGAATGGAGCATCTGAGACGTAGTCACGGTTGACATTTAAAAGAGATAATCTTCAAAAAATAAATTCCAATTCTTTCGAATGATAATAAACATTCCCTATTAAATTCGAAATTTCTGTGTTTTTTTCAATTAAAAGTAGGGAACCTCGAAACCTCGAAACCTCGAACCCTATATAGCTCCATTATCTATCTCGATTAGTTTAATTTTATAAAAACGACCGTTAGGTAAACAAAATTATTATATTCTGTAGTAACAAGTTGCCAAAGTATAATATAAAAAAGTTGTGTTAAACTTGAAAAAAAGCTCAATCATATGAATTAATTAAAAAAATCTCAAGTTTATACATTGTTTACATAATTTACAAAGGTCAACCAAAAGCCAATAATCGCGCTAAATCTGTGTAAAAAGTTCGCGTAATTATTGGTATCGATGCAAATTTTATTACGAGAATGTTGGGTAAGAGATTAAATACTAGTAAATATACAACTAGTACTATACATAATATATGCAAGCGCTGGTTGATTGTTCCAGACATTGTATTGCGTCTAATGTAATCTATTTTGAATAAATAATAGCTTTCGAAGATAATGTAATTGCATTTTCTTGTATATAGTATATTTAACGAGCTCGTAGAAAACAATTTTTTACTGACTTTTCACCGTTTGCTTTTCGGGTTAGGTCTAAAGTATAATAACATACAATAAAATGCAAGCTGTGTTTATATTATTATTTTCTCCCGCTATTTAATATAAAATTATATTAAAACAATAATTTTTGTATAAGGAAGAGAAGAATGCCACACAAGCCACCAATGAAATTTGTGAAGCTTATGGAGACGATTCTGTATCAGTTCGTGTAGCACAACAATGGTTCGCTCGCTTCGGTTCTGGAAATTTCGAAATTTCGATATACACTGATGAAAGTTTTAGACAGGTGGAATATTGTCTCTGGCATATAATGGCAGAAAGACTTCTTCGGCTACATAATATATGACTCAATATTAAGACTAAAACAGACAGAGAGAAATTCGATTCCTTTTTCCTTACTAACGAAATAAACTGTGTCTTTCTAGGACCGTTTAAAAAAGTTCCAAGACCTTAACTTACCCACCCTAAGGTACGTTAGACATACTTTTACTTTCAAATTATTCTCAAATTATTTTATTTTTCAAATTATTCTCGATGAAAAGCCTAAAGATATTATATAAGGTGGATCCGAGGAATTTTGTCATTATTATAGAGGGTACTTTGTTTAGACACATGTTTGTTTTAAAGAGGAAATGAAATGTTTATAATTTAACATTAAAGCCAAGAATTTAGGTTTTATTAACAAGATAAGGGTTTGTAACTATATTTTCAAAATGATTTCAGGAACGTAACCGCCTCGGCTGGCTCCAATAAATTCGAACCTAGAGACTCAATTCTCCAATACTTTCTGCAGCAATTTGGGCCATATGTCAGCAATAATGCGCCGAATATTCACCTATAAGGCATCAATAATCTCGTTCTGCTTCAATTATTTTTGAATTTTGTAAGGCCGCACACCAAGACATTTCCCTGAAATCTTCCATAAATGATAAAAGAATCTTTATTGTCTGAAATTGAAATTCGTGATCTCGGCGACATTTGATGGCGCCCACACATCGCATAAATGGAGTTATTGAAAGAACACTTCGGCAAGCAAATAATTTCACGTTTTGGGCGGATCGATTGGCCACCGAGATCGAGTGATTGACTCCGGTAAAGTTTTTGTGGTGCAAATAGTTAAAGTCT